TGTCACTTCCCCAAAAACCGTTACTGTTCGATTTGCCAGAGAGCAAAGATGACAGGTCGGGTTCATCGGTCAAGGGGGGCACCGGGTGAGGATGAAATTCCTCCGCTCCACTATGGCCACATGATGAGAGCAGACCACATTATTTTGGGGGCAGATTTAACCAAAGGTGCTGGTGGGGAGCAAGCATGCCTTGTTTGTTTCGATGAATTCTCAGGTTGCATTGGAGCTTACTCCATGACCTCAAGAGACACTGACTCGAACATCCTGTGCCTTCAGAAATTTGCTGGAACCAGAGCTTCCCCTAGGTCTTCTTGCCTTGTGAAAACCGACTGTGCTCAAGAATTGACCAAAGCCGTTGAGCATTTGGGCTGGTTGAGTGAACCAGGGATTGAGAATGACCCGTATCACAATGCAAAGTTGGAAAGCTTGATCCGAAGGATCAAAGAAGGCGCACGTGCGATCCATCTCAAGTCAGGTTTGCCGCACGCCTTTTGGCCGAGGAGCATAGAGTATTTTGTTGTAGCGCATGCAATCACACATCCATGTCCTGTGCATCCGAATGAGACTCCTGAGTCCAAAGCGTTGAAGGAAGGGAAGACCTGTTATGAAGTTGCTTCAGGTAGTGTTTTTGATGGGTACCGGATTCCTTTTGGTGCATTAGTTTGGTACAAACCACCCAAGCATAGAGAACTTCCTGCCTTTGACCCAAGGACTTTTCCTGGGATCTTTTGTGGATGGCGAATCGACAACGGGTATAAGTTCAGAGGTGTGCATTTGGTTTTGGATTATGAAGCTGTTCGCACCAACAAGAAAGGTTGTGAGAAACCAATCCAAGTGTATACTAGTGAGCTTGTGAAACCAGAAGTGTTCATCTTTCCTTTGGAAGAGGCTGCAAATTCACAGCTGGCATTGTTTAAAGCAGATCGGGAGTTGCTGAGCATTGATCCCAGAGAGTCGTTGCCCTTTGGAGAGGATCCTCCCGAGCCAGCCAAACGCAAACGCAGGCCTTATGTAACATTGGAGAGATGCATTAGGTTCGGAAAGACTGTAGGTTGCAAAGGCTGCGACAGAATCGCAGAAGGCGTGAGGCACAGCGATGAATGCCACGCAAGGATTGGCAAACTCTTGGAAGACGAGAGACTAGCCAAAGAGTCAGATTCGAAGAAAGACAAAGAGAAATCAGAAGAAGCTGTGGACATTTCGATGCACACCTTGAAGGACAAGTGTAGCCGCCAAAATTTCAGAGAAAATCCCATTGTCCTGCCTGAAGGCCAGGAGAGCAAGCTGCAGGCTTCTCTCGTGGATTGCTGTAATGCTGAGGCACTGAATGACTATTGGGACTTTGATGAGGCCAAAGCTGCATGGAAGAGAATCCATGTCCGTCCGAGGAAGCGTTTGTTCACACCGCTTGGAAATGACTGTCCTTTCGATTCGTTCGAAGTGACAACAGAACGTCAAACTGTTTGGACTTGTAGAAACAAGACTTCACTGTTTGCAGATGATTGGCAATCCATGTCACCGAATAGGCGCATTTGTTCAAAAAGTTGGGTAGGATGCACATACTTCTTCCCAAAGGAGAAGCCTGAACATGTGAAAGCAAGAATCATGACCATGACTAGCAGTGTCGAGAAAGAACCTGCTCGAGGACTTGATGATGTCACGTCGATCCTTGGTTTAACTCCGGTCCCTGCAGAAGTCAAAAACGTTCAGACATTGAAGCCACCCCGTGAAAGGAGGATTAGGTCAGGCAAAAGCCATGCAATGTTTGAATTCTGCTGCAGCAAAGACTCGAAACTAGGAGATATTAACGAATCAAGGGGGGTCCCACATTTTAGGTTGCATCGGGAACAAACCAACTTGGAAAATGAAGAAGACATCAAAAGCCTTTTGTCGTTGGTAGACATGTTCAAGGGGGCTGACCTTTGGGGAAGCATTCCATGTAGTTCGTGGAGTCCTTGGCAGAAAATGTGTCTGCATCGATATGGTTCATCCTACGCAAAGAAATTGAAAGCCAAGAGAAAGACAAGCAAGAAACTCTTAGCTAACTACATAAAGGTTGCCGAGAGAATTCTCCAGAACGGAGGACATGTTGCTTTCGAATGGCCCAAACATTGCGAAGGTTGGATGTTGACCGAGCTTTTGCAGTTTGTCAAGAAACATGATTTGTATGAGACATGCTGTGACGGCTGTGCCTTTGATTTGAAAGACAGTAAAGGAGAGCCACATCTGAAGACTTGGAGAGTCGTAACCTCATCAAGAAAGTTGGCAAAAGACCTTGGTGCATACCGATGCCAACACCCAAAAGACTTCAAACACAGTCCTTTGGAGGGTTCAAGCACAGGGAAGTCAGCCTTCTACACTGAAAGGATGGCGCAAACAATCTCGAACAGCTTGTATCCTGATGGTGATTCCGTCCCAATCATGCCGACTTGTCCGTTTGTTCAGTCAGAACATGTCCCGCATGAAATTCCCTTAGGTGTTCATCAATTGATTGATCGTCGAGATTGGGGAAAGTATCCGGGGGCTGATCAAGCTATCAAGAAAGAGTTGGATGGTCTTCTAGCAAATGAAGTTTGGGATGTTAGTAAAATCATTTCCAAAGAAGAACTAATGAAGTCGGGTGGTAAATACAACCTAGGTCGTCTCATGACAATCCTGTCCATGAAGCACGCTGAAAGTCCAGAATTGCGAAAGTTGAAAGCCAGAATTGTGTTCAGAGGCGATCAGATTGTTGACCAAGACAACAACATCGCCATCCTGCAGGAACTCAAGGTGAATCCCTCGGGAATCACGGCCATAAACTTCAACTTGAGCTATGGTGCACTTCCAGGAAATGAAAGTTCCCAGTCGGACGGTCGGACGTGGTGCGTGCATACACTCAAAGTGTCTTGCGAACTGTGGTGGACACGTGGGTGCTACTCCCTCCAGAGTTAGTGCCAAAGGAGTTCGCTCACATCAAAATGCCAGTAGCGCCACTGAAGAAAGCGCTATACGGACACTCGGAATCGGGTTTCCACTGGGATGCAAGATTCCGTGAAGTGATGGGACTCATGGGAGGTAAAGCTGACAGAGACAACCAGTCGAATTGGACCTTTGAAAATGGTCTAGTCCTCACATTGTACGTTGATGACATCTTGCCTTCAGGGCCATCAGGTTTGCACAAAGGGTTCTGGGAAAATCTGCAAAAACACCTTGAAATAGAAGAGCCGACCCCAGTGGATCGTTGTCTTGGCAGAAAGCATTTGTTCAAACGTAAAAACGGAGTGACTGAAGTTTATTTCGACATGGTAGATTTCATCAACTCAGCATGCCAAATGTATGAAAACCTATCAGGGATGCCATTGAAAGGCGCTGCATCTCCGTACTTGCCAGAAGGTTCCATTCCAGTGAATGAATGGGAGGAGCGCGGTGCTCTAGCAAGTGATGCTAGTAAGGTCTTGATGAAAGTCCTTTGGGCGGGCAGACTTGCCAGGCCGGACACGGTAAAGGCAATAGGGGATCTCACCCGCCGTGTCACGAAGTGGAGTCGTGCCGATGACCGCCGCTTGCACAGATTGATGAACTATCTGTTCGAGACCAAGGCGTTCTGCCTGAAGGGCAAAATCGCAGATCGTCAGGAAGACCTACAACTGGTCTTGTATACCGACGCGGACCACTCAAGCGCGGTAGAGGATGCAAAGAGCACCTCTGGTGGTTTGCTGTGTCTGCAAGGACCGGGGTCTTACTGGCCACTGTCGTGGCACAGTAAGCGACAGGGTGCCACTGCACGATCGACCACAGAGGCCGAGATCATATCACTTGCCCACGGCGTATTTGACGCTTTGCCAGTTGCCGAATTCGTTGAGGAAGTATTTAGAAGAGAAATTGAATTGGTGTGTTTCCAGGATAACAGCGCTGTCATAACCATATGCGGCCAGGGCTATAGCCCCAAGCTCCGACATGTTTCGAAGCACCATCGTATCAACCTCTCTTCTCTATACGAGACGTTCCGTTCGCGAATGGTAGTGCCAAATTGCTTTATATAAAAACGGACCATCAAAAGGCTGATCCCTTCACGAAGCCGTTGCCGGTTTCTAAATGGAGTCACGCCTTGCGTCGTGGATCCAAATCTCTCGAGGCACCCATCTTCCACTGAAGCTGTTAATGTGTGAAGGGGGAGGAGAGAGACATGTGGTGAAACCACCACCCCTAATCCACTAGCAAAGCACCCTGGTCGATGCATCTGGCACGCCAGGGGAAGCAGTCCTTGAAGCAGTCCATGAACAACCAAAGAGCATCTCTGCAGGCAAGCTTTGCATTCGATGTGTCACCAAGCACTGTTGTATCACTTGACATGCAAGTCACAGGAATCTTAATGAATGTAGCCATCACATGATCCAGTCATTGACGTTTCACTTCACCGGACATGTTTGGCTCAAGATTGTGGGAAAAAGGGGCGGCTGCTGTGTTCTTTTGGACATGGCGAAAGTGAATCGAGCAGTACTCAGCACAGAGCATTAGCACAAGGCTAGGCAGAAGTGAAGAACACGAATCCACTTACAGATAAGTAAGACTTGACGGGCCTTGATGAAAATGATGCCCGCTAGTTGGCAAAACTGTGTATTGGTAATACAAGTCGCACGTTTTTGGGAGGCAATAAATAAAGAATGAATCAACAATGACAGATCAATTTTCGGTTGCCCAAGGCCATCAAGATCAGCAGGACTCCATTCCAATCCATTTCATATATGAGTATCAAGATAGTATCAAGGCTGCATTTGCAGGATGTGTTCTTGTCCCCCCACCAGCAGAATGAGGAGGTCTTAAATCCGTCATTTTATCTGACTTTTCACAGATGCACCGTGTAAGCTCAGTTCGAGGCAATTCTACGGGCGGGGTTCTTTTAGGGATTGTACAGCAACGAAGTGCCTGGGAGTCCAAGGCCATTTAAAGAATGGTCTTTAGGTGAATCCATGCACTTTCTGAAAACTGCAGTGGGGTCGAGTCCATCCTCCGTCCAGGAGACCAAAGGACAGGTCGAGTCGCTGGTCAAAGAGTGCACCTCGTCTTGTGTCGTGAGTGCTTATCATCCGAAAGTGAAGCGGCACTGAATGAAACCAAAGGCGAGCTCGCATCTGTCACGCGTCACTTTAGACAGACACCAAAGGCCGGTTCCTTGACAGACACCAAATGGTTCTTGTGTCCCCATCTGTGCGGAGAGTGCTGTTTGGGAGTGTATGTTTGCTTGTAACCACCTGGCTGGCTGGTTGGTTGGACTTTTTGCAGTGAGAAGGATGAGGAAGTTCCAGCTGACTTCTCTGGTGGTTATGGGGTCCTTGATTTTGGGTTCGGTCAGGATGCAGAGCTTTGTGGATGAGGGGTAGATGTTGCCATGACTGCCATGGTAGCCTGGTAGTGGTCGACATCAATGGTACACCTGGGAAGATAGCTAAAACGGCTAAAACTGAAAATGGACCTGAGGGCTAGCTGCGGCTAGCTTTCTCCACAGACCGACGTGGTTTGCAGCTTCCATGTGGGTATGGTCCAACCGGACATGCCCTGACGCTCCGGCGTCCCTCTCCCACCACTCCCATCGCGGGGCCCGGTGAGCGGCCGCCCAGGTCGCCAGCAGGTGGAGGCCGAGCGGGCTCGTGAAAAGACCTGGCAGCCCGGCGGCCAGAGAAGAGATTCTCAGAATTGCTGGATTCCAAAACAGGGCAGGAAAGCCTGAAACCAATTCTGGGATATTCTGGGAACATAAGAGGTTCAAGGGAACATCTACACGAAACCCAGATGTTGGGTGAAAACCATAGTTTTCCTATCGATGTTCCCTTAGACCAATTCTGGGAAGAGAGAGGTTTCAGTGTCCAAAGGGATCGAAAGCACCGGAAGAATCCACGGAACATCTTGGTGCAACCCCCCTGCTTGGCTGCTCTTCCGAATGGCCACGGCGTCTGGCCTGCAATGAAACCGGTTGATTCTGGTCGCAACTTGTGATGGATCCCAAGCTGGAGCCCGCTCGACCAGTCCACCATGGATTCGCGAACGACATTCCAGGTATATATAGGTCAACCGGTTGGTATCATCCCGGGTGCCATGATCATCCACAGCCACAGCCGTATCCAGTCATAGCAAGTCCCTTTGAGTAACGACCGATCAATTAAGATACCTTTCAATGACCAGGGAGCAGTGAATCGAGCTCGTTTTTGATACATTTGGTGTGTACATGCGTGTACTATGAATAGGGAGATCCCCAACTGATGGGTTTTTGGTCGATGTTTCTCCTTGTGCGATGTCGGGCTGGGAGGTCTGCGTATTATATACACATCGTCAAGTCTGCAAGATGGCTTGTTCCTTTTACAGGCCCTGCCAATCAGTAAGTCGTTTCAATCCAAGTTAGTCCGGTAGCCTTTTAAAGCTAATTAATTAATTACCGACTTAGAGCAGCTTGGAACATCTAGAATCTAGAGGGAGCCTTTGATGTATTTAGATAAGTCTTTTGATATCTCGAATACTTGGCCCGGCTTCACGGCTTCCCCCTCCAAAAAACACACCACTCTCGGTGTCACGGCTTCCGCCAAGGCATCGCTTGGTCTTGGGCTGTGCCATTTTGAGTGGCGCCGCCCTGGCCTTCGCTGTCGCACGGCGTTCGCGGCAGTGAGGCGAAGGAGGAACAGGCTGACGAGAGACCCCAGTGGGCACCCGTAATGGCCAAGTTTATGGAATCAATTGATGTAGTTTGCTATAGGTTTTTTTTATTGACAGTAATTATGTGTATTTAGATTTACTAGTCAATGATGGCTGAATTTGTCCCAAATACTTCATGATTTTGATGAACACCTGTTAGGACCAAAAGGTCTTGAGTTGGATGTTTGTTGGGTGTAGCACAAAGAATCATGTCCTCCTGTTTGAAACTGATTGTGTTTAACCAAGTGGAAGTCACATGAGAGCATCAATGTTGCTGCATTTAACTTAAGATCCATCGAGATTAATTGCACATGTTTTGACACAGGAAGTGTGGTAATGCATCACACGTGTTTTTGCACCCCAACTGATAGAATGCCAGAAATGGAAATTCTGTCTCTCACTTTTTGCAGCTGCAGAACATTCTGGCCAGATGTCGCCAACGGTCAATGTGTAAAGCCACCAGCTCGTGGAGAAAGTAGGAGTTTTTCTGTAGGCTTTGTAGGTATACGTTGCACTTGACGTTTTTGCTGCAAACTTATTGGTGGGATTGCCCAATGATTTGGATCAACCCCTATGTAGCACTATCGTAACGCTCGAGCACGAAGAGTGCTTGGAGCGCGTTGCATGTCGGGGTGGTCAGTCGGTCGACCTTTTCCCAGAACATCGACTCACTGATCGCTCACAGTGTGATCTCCTCGAATGTTCAGTGTGATCATTCCTTAGAAACATAGAACCATTTGCAAACACCTTTTGGCACTCATGCGTCCACTCATTGGCATTCCAAGTTGCCCTAATATGATTCATTCCTTTTTTCCCCCCCACACTTGTGTATACGGCCATATTGTTGCATCATTCCTCCCTAGAATTACTTGGTCAAACTCATCCGTGCCTTGTGCCTTGACCAAAGCGGCAGCCCTGCACCGGCATGGCCCCGCTAGAAGGAGCCTTCGCCTTCTACTGCCAACTATGAGGGTCGGAGTGTTCTCATCCAAGATGAGACGAAGTGGTTGGGTTCAAAAAGGCCTGCATGGTGTGCAGATTTGCAGATCTACACTGTATGATATGATTAAGGGATTTTTGCGATAGACCGAAACATGCCATCTATGGAAGCCAAATGGTTTTGTTTCGTTTTTTTGTCTCTAACCAGAGTGCCTTCAAATCCCAAAGTGGAGCATTGTTGGCCCTTGGGCCACGGTCAAAAAGGTCAGGCCTGGCACATCAGTCGGCTGCTTGATGACCACTGTAGTCGGCCATTGTTACTTTTGGTTTGGCTGGGAGCATATTCACCAATCTGCGAGCAACCTACAGAGGGGCTGGATGCTGCTCCACTTGGGTATTTTCCTTCGATGGAATTGAACTCATGATCAGGAAGACAACTTATTCCTTGATAATCTTTGCTAGATCTTGAAAGATGCGAGACTCGATTATATAAATAGTTGGCTTCCGCAACTGCTGTTGTCCCGCATTTGTTTGGAGATCCCTGATCCTTTCATACACATGTAAAAGCTTACAAAGGGCCTTTGCCCATGCGATATAGTCATAGTTCAGGTCATCCATGTTGTTTGCAAGAGATGTCTAGGATGATCCAGAAGTCAAACATTGCAAGTCCTCAATAATAATGAATTCTTGCTCAGGAATAGACACTGACAAACTTCTTCATGAGGATCAAAACCTCATTCTAGCCATGGAACTTGGTTTTCATGTTTTCAGTTCACTTTATCAGTGATGTCAACGCCCTGAGTGATATTAGCCTTAGTTCCTGAAGTGGCAGACATTTGATGTCTAGATATAACAGAAATACTGTATACATAAACACGCTCAGACACCTTGGCAATAAAGCCTCGAAAGCGGAGTTTCACATGATTTGTGGCCATTGGATGACCCAAACTGCAAATTATTAGAATATACTTGGAACCTGTTTGTTGGTGGTTGGTGGTCCAAAATGGATGTCATTCAGGTTCTAGGTATTTGATGGTGTTTGAATGCTCTTGACTGGACTTACGAAATGGTATGCACTCGCATCTATACGGGTATGCACTCGCATATTGACAATTCTAAATTTCACTGAACCATTGATTTTTCAAGCAGGTCATGCACGCAACAAGTGCAGGAAATAACCCAGGAGCTGGTCATAGCATCTTTCATGTAGGCGTTGCATGTCGCGCCGCACAAGCGCGAAACCAACCATACAGCATCCTGACAAACGGGCTTGTGTTTGACTTTGGACATGCTTTCCTGAGAGTGGGAACTTTGGGGCACAAGCGGAACCTGCGCATCCGGTGGACCATGCGTGGACCGTTCGTCGTGGACGCGAGGATCAGCAGCCTTTTGACGAGCGGTCAGGGGGTTTCCAGGTCACTGGGGGTGCGCCCTCGGGGCGCAGGATCTGTTCTTCAATGAACCAGCCTCCCTTTCGGCATCGGCCGGCAGGCGGTTGAAACCGCCTTTCCCAGAGCTGTTTCAGCAGCGTATTGGATGATGTATTGGATGTTCGCATGCATCAAGCAGCGTGAGGAGGCTCGAGCATGTATGTGTTCACGGTCAGCCTGTAAATCGGTTCCTATATATGGACACTTGCATCAAAGAGGCAAGTCAGACGTTCTGCCTTTTCTTTGCTACAACATGTTTGGCAGGGGCGGCATAGCGTTTTATATGTTTTTCCATACCAGTTTATTGTTGTGCCTACTCAAGAGACCGTTTTGGGAGAACAGAGACAGATGATAAGTATCTCAATCGCATGAGGTGTTGAGGAAACTAGAGACTGAATTCCAGCACCGAGTTTCACCGATTGCTGAAACAAAGCATCTCGAATTCAAACAGCCCGCGCCTCAGCGATTCAATGATTATTCGGCGATTTGGCGGCAGAATACATAGAGTCGTCTTTGCGTTGTGCTTGTGCTTCTTTCCAAACGCTTTCTGACCATGAATGACCCACCACGAGGCGACCAGGACGTCCAAGACGTGGATGACGCTGTCGGCGCAGAAGCAGCGTTGGGGGCCCACCTGGGTGGGGCCATTGGGGTGGGCCAACGAGGCCACGAGTGTGAAATGATATCAACCTTGATCATTTGCACAAGGTAAGGTAAAAAACACATGTACTAGTCAAAAACAATTGTACAAAAAATATACATGTTTCTTTGATACAAACAAATTATATAGTTGTTGATATCAAGATATAATGTCAAGGAACTCACAAGATATTTAGTACGGCTTGTGTTGACCCCTTGGAGATGTCCATTTGATATTTGATACTTGTAGAGAAGAACACAGGATGAGATTTGCAACAAAGCCCCCAATGTAGAGCATGGTAGGTTGACCTGACCGATGTCCAAGCAGATGTGCAGTGCATGGAACTCCCCGCAGCGAGCCGTGTTCCGCCATGGCTGTGGATTCTTGCTATTTGCTACCCGAGACATGGAGGATCTGCAGGTGTTAATTGTGCTTATGACTTATGACTGGTGTTGGACCTCTTAAGGGGGCTTTGTTGGTCCAGTAGTGTGACGTGTGAAGTTGGCCATGTTGGGTGTAGTTGTCCAAAGTAGCAGAGGACAATACAGGCAATGCATGGCAATACATTGTATGGTATAAGGTTATCAAACACAAGTCAAGTCAGTAGAGTCTAATCATTTTCCAACCAGGAGTGGCAAAAGTTTGGAGTAGTGAAACCATGTGAAACCTCATATGGAGTTGTTCTTTTCCCGCGGGGGACGGGATTGTGACCGCAAGGTTTGTGAGTTGAGTGAACCGTGCGGCGTCTACCGGGCCTGAGGGGCCTCCAGGGTGATGAAGTGTTCTCCTTCCCCATGCCTTGGCGTGGTCTACCAAGCTGGCCAAGATGTTTTTGAAGCCGAGAGCGGAATCCATTCGCCTCAGGCGCTCTGTGGTCGATGTGCTTCGGGCTTCAAAGCTTAACCCAAACGCAAGAAACGTTGAAACATGGTCAGAACGAACGAACAGCATCTCACCCTACTGCAAGGTCAACGACGAAACTATAGACTATTACGCCTACGCGCACATGTTCATGCCAAGCATCAATTTGGCACAACATGTTCAATCTTCCTTCAATGTTCCTCAAGTTTGTCGAACTGAAGCCGTAGGTCAGCCGACAGCCGAGGTGAGGCGCCGATTCGTGACAAATCAAGAAAACCGACCGAGGTCTCGATTGACCTTGCCACCAACAGGTTTGCAAGGTCAATCTCTTTTGGAACCCGGAGGTAGTGACAAGAAATACCATACAGGACCATTCATGTCTTGCAATTGGAATCGGAGACTCTGCCAAGTTGGCCAAAGGATGCTAAATGCTAAAGGAATCAAAAGGGCTTTCAAACATCCGCCATGTCGCTGATGGGTCGACGGCGTGCCATGTGGCTGGCAGTGCTGCTGGCGGTTTATGGCTTCCGGTGGCTTGTGGCCCAGGTCGTTTTTGTAGGCGTGGCCAATGGTCCTGATACATATACACAAGGATGCCGGATCTTTGTTACATACACAAGGCTTGTTTGGGGGTAAAGGGTTGGCATGGAAACCGCCTTTGGCGGAGTAGCTTTCAGTTTCCAGAAATGTCTACTCAATGCAGAGTTGAGCAGCCCCTTTATTCATACAAAAGCCACCACAAGAATCCACCATGCAATGTGAACTACGCTGCCCGCTACTTCTGGCGCCAGACGTGAGGCGGTGCCATGCTCGGCAGGGAGAGCGCTCGCGCTGCGAGCACGGGCTGGTTCCAGTCTGAGGTGTTTTGGGTGGTGGGCATGTTGATGGGGGGCTCCGGCGCGGAAGAAAGACTTCTCGAAGACCTGGTCTGTTGTCCCGAGATCTCGGAGGAGTCTTCATGAAACATGACAGGTCTCTGTACAGAATTGGTTTGGTAAGCAGGGAAAAGAATTCCTCCATGCTTGGCCGTTGATCCTTTATCGCATTGGATCCACCGCTTCATTCCTCGGTTCATGAGTTTGGGATATGTTGAAGGGAGAGTCAGTATGAGTCAGTCCTTCTATACTTTCCACCTGGATGTTCACGGGTGGAATGTGTTGAGATTCAATTTGAATTGTTTGCAAGATCTTCCCATCCTTCCCCCACAGCCCTCCAGTCCATCCATGTCCATCCCCACCCTTCCCCACCGGCCTCACCGGTGCCAGACGCGGACGCGCCGGCCATCGGCCGAGTCCGCAGCGCCGGCCACGGCGCTGGCGGAGCAGCTCGTCGCCGCCGTGCGCGCGGACTCCGAGGAGGCGGCGGCGGAGGAAGTGGCGGCGCTGCTGGCGTGCGGCGTGGCTCTGGAGCAAGGCGACCGGGACGGGCAGCTGCCTTTGCCGCTCGGTTTCGAGGGAAGATGAGGAGATGAGGGAGCAGGGTGTGGAACAAGGTAGCAGCAGGTAGCAGCTACTAAGTTGCTGCGACAAACTATTGTACCCTTGGTGTCCCTTGGCTATGAATCACTTGTGGACCTAAACAGGAGCCACCCCACAGATGATCCAATTTGCCAAATCGCACGGCCCAGTGGAGATCATAGAATCGATTGTTTGTTCATTTACTGCTCCAGATTTGCCAAAACCAGAATCGCTCCATGAAAGTTTTTCCATCGAAGGCAGTGGTATATAGCTGAGAAACTGTACTTGGGTTGGTCTATTGAACTATTATCTATTCTCCGTGCCGGCGACAGTCACCGAAGTCCCCGTCGATCATGGTCCATCAAACACCTTCTCGACATGTGTGGGCCAAAAGAAAACCCAAAGAACTCATGAGCCAAGCCATGCCAAGCCTTCAAAGTTTAAAGCCAATGAGGATCCTTGAGTTCATGAGTCTCAAGTTCCTGAGCCAAGTCATTGTCCTTGTTAGAAGTAAAACAAAAACAATCATAATTAATAACATTTTTAGGCAAACACACACACATAAATTAAGTAAACGCACACACACCAAACAAATCAATCCTTATGGCTTGAGTTCGGAGCCGGACTTCGGGGTGTGACTCGCTGTCCCGCAGAATCTCGGCTCCGAACAGAAGGAGACGGGGAGATCTCGTTCGGCCAATGGGCCCAGAGGACGGCCCGGTGATGCTGC